AGCTAGGCACGCTGTGCAAAGCAGGGGCTCGCCCTTTCCTTTGCAAGCTGTCTTTTTGGGGTGACAAAGCCTCCGGGGTGTTAAATTCACCCGATGCTGTAGGTAGTGTGGTGCAGAGGGGCGATGCGGCAGGGCAGGGGGGGGTGCATGAGATGCAGGGTGCAGCGTGGCAGTGTGGGGTGCATCAGGGTGATGCAGCATGTATGAGAGCAATGCAGGGTGCTTCAGGGGGATGCAGGGTGCACCATGGCAGTGCAGGGTGCGCTGCATGAGATGCAGGGTGCAGCGTGGCAGTGTGGGGTGCATCAGGGTGATGCAGCGTGTATGAGAGCAATGCAGGGTGCTTCAGGGGGATGCAGGGTGCATGAGGGCGATGCAGGGTGCACTGCATGGGATGCAGGGTGCAGCGTGGCAGTGTGGGGTGCATCAGGGTGATGCAGCATGTATGAGAGCAATGCAGGGTGCATAAGGGTGATGCAGGGGGTGCATAAGAGATGCAGGGTGCACCATGGCAGTGCAGGGTGTGTGAGGGCGATGCAGGGTCCGTCAGGGGGATGCAGGGTGCAGCGTGGCAATGCGGGGTGCATGGGGGTGATACAGTGTGTGTGAGAGCAATGCAGGGTGCTTCAGGGGGATGCAGGGTGCAGCATGGCAATGTGGGGTGCATCAGCACGATGTGGGGTGCGCTGCAGCAATGACGGGTGATGCAGTGGGGGATGCAGGGTGTACCATGGCAAAGTGGGGTGCATCAGGGTGATGCGGGGTGCTTCAGGATGATGTGGGGTGATGAAGGCTGATGCAGGGTGCACTGTGGCAATGTGGAGTGCATGAGGGTGACGCAGGGTGCTTCAGGATGATGTGGGGTGATGCAGGGTGCACCCGGGCAATGCAGGGTGCATCAGGGTGATGCAGGGTGCGCTATGGCAATGTGGGGTGCATCAGTGCGATGTGGGGTGCACCGCAGCAATGACGGGTGTACCAGGGTGATGCAGGCTGCACCACAGCCATGTGGGATGCATCAAGGTGACGCAGGGTGCTTCAGGGCCACGCAGGGTGCACCACGGCGATGTGGGATGCTTCAGGGGGTGCATCAGGGGGTTGCAGGCTGCGTCCCGGGAGAAACCTCGCCTTGCTGGGCCCTGGGGTGAATATAGGAACAGCTTCACGAGCCCTGTTGCCTCCCCCCCGACCCTCCTGGGTGCTGTGTTGCAGAAAGCAGCGGGCTACCACCTGGACCTGTTCTGGGTGGGCATCCTCATGGCCATCTGCTCCTTCATGGGCCTGCCCTGGTATGTGGCGGCCACCGTCATCTCCATCGCCCACATCGACAGCTTGAAGATGGAGACGGAGACCAGCGCCCCGGGGGAGCAGCCCCAATTCCTGGGCGTCAGGTGAGGAAGGCTCGGCCACGCTCTTCCTCGGGGTGGGGGGGCGGAATCCAGACGCAGCAGCGTGTCCAGCCAGCGTGGCCTCATCCTGCTTCTCTCGCTGTTCCAGGGAGCAGAGAGTGACGGGCATCATCGTCTTTGTGCTGACGGGGATTTCCGTCTTCCTGGCCCCTATCCTGAAGGTAAAACATTCCCGTTCCTCCGTCCCTGCTCCCTCCCTGCAGATATCTGGGGACCTGGGAAGAAAAAGCTGGATTTCCCCGTCTCCATGGCCCCCAGCGTTGGTCCCCGTCCCCGGGAACGAGCTGCCGCCTTCCCTGGGGTAAGCGCCGTCTCTTTTCCATGTCCCCAGTACATCCCCATGCCGGTGCTGTACGGCGTCTTTCTGTACATGGGCGTTGCATCGCTGAACGGCATCCAGGTAAGCGCTCCTCCTCCTCCTCCTCCTCCTCCTCCTCAATGGCCATGAAGGGGTCCTACGCCAGGGCAAAAAGGGAGATTTTGACCTCAAAATTTGCATGCATCCAGCATTTCCAGCTGCATAGGACAGTAGATATCCAAAACCCTCCGAGAAACATCGAAAAGCCCCAAATTCCCCATTTTGGGGACTAAAAGAGGGTTTATCTGGGCAACCCGGGAGCCTGGGGAATGGGGCAAAAGGCTGACACCGGCCTTCCTCCCACCGCAGTTTTGGGACCGCTGCAAGCTCTTCCTCATGCCGGCCAAGCACCAACCCGACTACGTCTTCCTCCGGCACGTGCCGCTGCGCCGCATCCACCTCTTCACGCTGGTGCAGATCGTCTGCCTGGCCGTCCTCTGGATCCTCAAATCCACCGTGGCCGCTATCATCTTCCCCGTCATGGTAAGGCCATCCCCCGGGCTGCTACTGCAGCCTCGTTTAGAAGATTTTTTTGAGATTTAAGGAAATTTTGGCTTGGTCCCGTGGTGGTTCCCAGGTCTTGGGATGAGAGATGCTCTTGCAGATCCCGCTTTTGCATCTCTCCCCTCCTAGATTTTAGCCCTGATCCTGGTGAGGCGGCTGCTGGATTTTGTCTTCTCCCAACATGACCTGGCCTGGATTGACAACATCATCCCCGAGAAGGAAAAGAAGAAGGAGGATGACAAGAAGAAGAAGAAAAAAGGCAACAAAGGAGAGAGCATTCCGGGGTGGTGGCTTTGGGGTGAAGGTCTTTGATTCATGGAGGTGTTTCACTGCATATATAGGACCGTCTGATTGAGGGGCTTTAAGTGATGCTTAGGGGCTGGCCGGAGGCTCCAGGGGATGCTCAAAGGGTCCAGAAAGCTGGAAGATCGTGGCAAAAATGAAATCCTTAGGGAAAAGAGCCAAAAGCCATGGCTGAGGGTACGGCACTCATCGTACGGTGGCAAAGCATCATTAACCCATGCAACCCCCTGCTGCAGCCCCTTCCCCGGGCAGAAGGGCTGAGAGTTTATTTGGGAAGAGGAAGGCAAAGCCGCCGCCGCCTCCTCCTCCTCGTGCACCCACTTCTGGAGGTTTTGGGTCCCTTTGGGGTGCTCCAGGTGGTCTCGGAACCCACCCAGGCGCTGCTTTCACCGAATTTCCCCACTTTCTTCCCCAGTTCCCACCTCCCTCAGTCATTAAGATCCCCATGGAGCCCCTGCCATCGCAGCCCCGAAACGGGGGTCCCCATTGCCTCAGCCGTAAGTAAAAGAGCTCAGGAGCCTCTCTCGCATTCCAGACCGCTTCCTAACCCCCCCCCCCTCCGCAACGTGATCCGCTCGGCCACCGATGGCACTAACCCCGCTAAAAGACGCAGCCTGGATCTGTCCCGCCGAAGCGGGGAGGAGGGTTTGCTGTATTTAAAGCAGGTTTGAGAGGATGCAGCGGGCTCGGTCCTGCTAATAATTTTATATTCCAGGTGGCTGGGAAGCCAGGACTCTCCTGGATCTCCCCCCTGAGCCGATGCTGATGGGGATTTTTAATAAATATATATATTTGGGAAGGTTTTGAGCCCCCAAAAGCAGGGGATGCAGAGCTTATGGCGGCGTTATCCCGGCTGCGAAAGAGCAGATGTGTTCAATTTGGCTCAACCTTCTGCCCGAAACATCGTACGTGAGCTGGTGCAAAGACAGCCATGACCAAAAAAAATTCAGAATAAATCCGGGTGAGTTTATTCCAGCTCGGCACCAGGTTGCATCATGATGCCAGCAAGTTTTGACGCGATAATTCATTGACTCTTTCCTCAAGCTGCCACTAGCAGGGGCTGGTGGGGCCTTTCTCTTTCTCTAATCACCCCCAAAATCAGCGTTTCTTGGGAGCTTTTCTCCTCCTCCCACCGTCCGGAGGACGCTGGAACCCGGTAGCAGGTTGGAGGCGGGGGGGATGAGTGGTTTTTTGCGGGGCTCCTTCCTCACCCGGGAAGTGTTTCACCTCCGTGTCCCCCCCAGGAAAGAGGTCCTCCACCTGGAGCTTTGCGTTCTGATTCCTCCCCGAACGGTTCAGACCTGGATCGCAGGTAAACGGCCCGCTCCCCCCGCCCCAGGGGACCAGCACCCGCCGCGGGAAACATTTTGGGGGTCACCGACCGATGCTCCCGGCTGAGCATCGCTCGCCCGAGCCGGTTGCCATCATCCTCGGGCATTTCTGAAATAGCTGAGTGGATTTTCGCAGCATTCCTCTGTATTTTGGGTGCTTTCGTTTGGTGGCCCCGGCTATCGGGTTGTTGGGAGCGGGGCTGTGTGGGATGACGCATCCCAAGCCTGGCACGAGAGGGTTTATAGCAACAAAAATGCCGCTGGGTAACAGCCACGGGGATTTTTAGGATTGGGATGTACATCTGAATCCCGAAAGCTTGGGATTATTCTCCCCCTGCAGCTGCGAATTCTGCAGATTGTACATATTAAAGGCAAAATATCATATTTTTATGAATTTTTACTGGCGGGGGGGGGGGGGGGGGGGCCTTTTTTGTGGTGTCTTGGTTG